TAAAGTTTCTTTTCTCTGAAGTCCAGACAGTTGATGAAGTGTTGGTTGTTTTGGTGGTCTCTAGTCAACCTCACTTTGAGCAGGATTATCACCAACATCAGTTTCAGTCATATCGTGTCTAGCCAGCATTAAAAATCTCCAAGTACAGAGGTTCCACAACCCACCTGGGAAACCTTTTCCCCTGATCCGCTACTCCTGGTGAACAAGCTGTCCCAAGTGTCCAGTTTGAATCTCCACGTCCCAGGTTGTGGCCACTGGACTGTGTTGTTGTTAGACTATGAATCATGCTAAGAGCCTGGTGAGATTCGGGTGAATAGTGACATGCACAGCAGCCCTAGTTAGCATAATCAGTGAAAACTGGAAGACACAGACTTCTCTGCTCCTGAGGTTATCAAAGGAAAATTATTAGACCATTGTCCCTAGTGTGAAACCTGAATAAAAACTCCCAGAGCTCCTGGCACAGTGAAGTACTGCCTACAGGGGATTTGCTGTGGGATGCAGGGGAAAGGGCACTTTGAAATTGTTCGAAGGTTATTATGGGATACTTTTAATGGGACTCTGGGAGCATGTAGAACTTTCTATGAAATATTTAGTGAAAGGACCAAAGGTCAGAAAAGGAGGGATCCATGTAGCAAGATAGAACAAACCTGGTTTGATTTCTTTCTTGACTGGTCTGTGCTGTCTGCTTTTTATCACCTTATCATCCCCTTTCTCTTTTTAGTTCTCTTATTTTCTGTGTTTTGAAAGGTATCTTACTCTTCTTTATTTTGCTTAGCCTTTTCCCCTTTTTAAAAGATAGGCCCAATGAAATCCTCTGGGACCTCCAATACTTTGAAAATATAATTGTAAATGGTTCAGAGAGAACTTTTGCTAGATCGTAAGGCACATACAGAACTTTTTCTGTCCTTGCCACTTTGAAAATACCTAACTACTTCAGGTTTTTTGAGATGTTTTTCACTTAATCTGGTCTCCAGTCCTACTCTTCCATTAAAATTAATTTCATTAAGTATCTGGTCACTGCTTATGAAATCTGCAACAAAAAAATCTGTGCCGTTTTCCCTTCTCCCTCATAAAATAATGGGGGTTTGGGTCTAACTTCTTTTTATGTCCAATCCATTTACAGAATATTTGTAGGGTTTTTATGTCCCTTGATAGCAGTAACCTTTTTAATCTTAACCTCTAATTTTATCATGAGTGGTTTTTGTGTAATCCCTATCTACTCTTAGGATTTATCTTTTGACTCCACTTGCTTACACAACTTCATTCTGACTTTCAAATTTTTAAAGAACTTTTTAGCCAGGCCTTTTGTGCTCTTACTATGGCTGATGTCTTTCTTCATGAGAAATAGTTTGTCATTTCACCTTCACCATAGTATCTTTTATTATTTGCTAGCCTGTTCAAAGAGCCCATCTTTCTCAGACTCTTATCAAGAGAGGATAGAAGATGGTTGCCTAAGTTTATTGGTCTGCCTTTTATGTTTTAAATATATTGTCCTTACAGTGCTGCACATACTTTTCCTCAGAATCATGAATTCTACTATCTTAAGATAGGTGTCACCTGGTTGGCATTCCATGCAAGTATTTCTCCAACAGTTTTCACCTGCAATGTTCGTATCTGGCAATTTTTGCCACCTTTAGAAAAAAAAATCAATTACTAGATTATTCCTATCATACTGTTTTTCAAAGCTACTTGAATAACTTAAGCTTTTCATTATCACCAGTCCTAACTGTCAGCTAATCAAGCAGTTATTTTCCAGCATCTTCCATGATGATGGTTTTGATTGTATTTTTCAAGTTAAATCAGTGTTTTTGTTGAAAGCAAACCCTCTTCAATTCTGTTAAGTTTCTACACCCTTAGAATTTAGTCTTGCGTTCAGAAACATACAAAGAATATGTCTTTCATATTTACTTCAGTTCTTAAAATATTTTTGTAAGAAATATCAATAAATTTGCAGAACATTTGAAAAGTCAAATGTTTCTAAGAGTGTAGCATTTGTTCTGTTTTACATTCAGTCAAAAAATATACTTTGTTCATTCCCCAAATAATGGTTCATCTCACAAACACTGAATGTGTAAAAAGAGATTTAAAATTTCTATTGAAAATACCTTATGTGCAATGTATTTTAGCAGTTAATAATTGCTTTCTGCATTGTCAGACAAAACACACTTCATATGCCAATGCCAGCTCATAAGTTCAAGAACAAGTGAAAGCTATTGTGAACATTTTTTTGTTACTGATCCTCTGCAAAGAAACTAAAGGGCATTTAGCCAAGGCTGCAAAGCAATTCAAAATCACTCAAAGCTGCAGAAGTGTTTCTATGGAGTGATTTTGTTTGGTGGGGCTTTGCTGGTTTGTTTGTTTTCCCAAAGCGATCACTTGTGCTGTGTGCCCATGAAATTTCTTTCAGGAAAGATACTCAGTGAGTCCTTTGTTATGCGTTTTATGTATTTTGTCATGTCAGAACTTTATCTCTTGTGTTCCTCAGTATACTGAACAACTTTTTACATGTAAGTTGGCATTTTGCATGCTGCTGGCAACCATATAAATCCATAAATCACTCATGTCAAGCCTTTTGAAGGTCCTGGATCTGCAAGTTGCCAGCATATGTCAAAGTCTTTCCCATAATGACAGAGTCCATCTTGGGCGGAGAGGGAGATGCAAAGATTTTAATTGTTTTTCAAAGTTTTCATCTACAAAAATAGATGCAGTTCTGAGCATGAGTGAATTAATGCTGATGCCCTTCTCTCTTCTAATTAAACACTTCCCACTTCATTTCTGCCCTGCCAGTTCAGATGAAAGTTTGAAATCAACAAAGAAGCAAACAGCAAGAAAGCAAAAATAAAATGAAAAGACGGGAGGGGAGATAAACAGTGATGAAATACACGGGAATCAAAGGCACCAAAGATGCACCCCAATTTATGTCGGGGTGATGAGAGGCCCATCAATAAATACCATCAGGGTCAATGGTGTTTTTCAGAGTGTATCTTTATGGATAGAGTGGAAAGGTACTTTCCCTTACCTTTTCTTATCATACTATTTCAGCAAGATCAATATACGTTGAAAGCAATTTTATATTTCATAAGCTACAATACAGTATTTTCGTGCCTTAGACAAGGCTTGTAATACTTGGTACCGGCCATAAATGACATATTGTCAAACACACAAATATCAGAGATTCCCTGAGCTTCATAATGCTAAAAGCAGAGAATATGTATTCTTAAACTTTTCCTTGCAGCTCTACTGCTGATCAGTGTCATGGAGAAGATACAGTTCTGGCTCTCTGTGGACATCCTCCTGTGTAATAGATTGCTTGTACTTTAAAAAGGAAGAGAAAGATCACTGAGTTTTAAATGTTACAAGCAAATATTTCCTAAAACATTTGATATGGGTATTGATTTAATTGTACATGAAATACTAGTCCTCACTGAAGATGAATTATTGAAGAACAGAAATTATGACTTGATATGAATCCTGAAGTAGAGCTTGCACAGGTCTTAAATGCTCCATCAGTTTTAATTTTGATTTGTTTCCAGGATGGAGTCTGATCAAAGTAGGTTGCAGGGTAGATCAGGGAGCTCAAAAACTTAAGTGTTGTCTAATTTTTGAAAGGGTAAATGTAGATTAGACATCACCTAAAGTGCAGACAGACAGTAGAACTTTCAGACATATAGCTACATAGCAATAATTAATTTATTTAGTTCATGACAGATTTGATCTGAGTTAATGTTAACTGACTCTTGTTAATCCACATAAACTAAAATAGAAACTTGTTGGCCAGCCTGTTCTGCTTTTGTTTGCTGTATTTGTATTTCTGATTCATTCACATTAAAATGTAAAGTAACAACATGGTTTACAGCTGGATTGTTCCTAATACTTAAAAATCAAGTAATCTCTGTGCAATTTAAATGTGATTATATTTCAGTAGAGCTTTGATTTAATTCATCCATGCAAAATGGCATAGTAAATTTTAGCATCTGCCTGTGTCTATTTAAGCAACATAAATTATTTACTGGACTAAAATTTCTTCATGGTTCTCCACCACTATTGATTAGTAAAGGCAATTTAATTTAATTACTATGTCATTTTAATCATTATGGAAGAATTTTGTACTTTATGAATCATACATACTTAACTGCAAGTATAATATGTCAGAGCAAAGTCCAGCAGATTAGGCACAGTGTGAAATAAGGAATTGCAAAATGCAATTTTGCTGCATTTGAGATAGCACATTGGATCTGACTTATTCACCTGGACTTAAGTAGCAGGCAAAGTACAACTGTAGAGACTGAGCTCATTCGTGTTCCTTGCCAGTCTTCCCTTGACAGAGGTAAGGTGCCTGCCCAGTGCTGTGTTCCTTCAGTGCTTTCTTATAGAAATAATTTTTATTGCCTATTTCTATTCTGGAATTAAATTGATCTTTAAATAAATTTTCAATGCTTACGCATAAATATAAGTGAAGAAAAAAGGTTTACTCCTTCAAAAATACTAAAAGAAAAACAAAAAAGTTCAAAAAATAACTCCAGTTCAAATTTCATGAAAATCAAGATTTGGGCTTGTGGGCTAGGGTTTGATTTAAAGTAATTTATAATTTAATGCTTCATAAGAAAAACAATAATCAAAGATTTCAGGAAAAATTATACACGACAGTAGAAAATATAAGTACAGCAGAATTTAAATGCTTAAAGGAAAGCAATGTGCCAAATTTAATGCAAGGTAATTTTCCAGTTTATTATGATCCCAACATCAGATGACCAACAAAAGGCAAATTACATTTCAATAGTAAATCATAGTTATTAGTGAATAGTTTTAGGTAGAATAGAAAATTCTGGTTTGCTGGCTTTGTGTATGATAGGTAGAAAAATTAACTCTCAAACCTGAAAATGATTTATCTTGGACTTTTTTTTAAAATGTGCTGAATTTTTTCATGCTGGAAAATGGTTTGCTGAATCTGCTGCTAAGTCATTCGATTTATAAGGAATGTGTCTTTGTTGCACCTTAAGCCACTGTGGAGAAGGGTACTGGCCTCTGCAGACTTTCTGCTGATGCTGGCAAGAAATAAGCCCTGACCAAAGAGCTTTTTTGCTAGATCTATTTTCTGCCTTCAGCAAAGCCACTGTGGGGAGCCCAGGCCTTAAAAAAAAAGTTTGATTAGAGTCTACGTAAATATATCCTTTGAGAGTATAGGAAACATTCATTTACCTGATTCATTCTAAGCTATTGCTGACAGAAACTCCTCTTCAGAGAATCTGGGATTTGCCTCAGTGAGGATCACAGAACTTAGTCCTGTAATAGCCTAAGCCTTCTTCTGTGCTGAATGAAGTATTAATAGACACATACCCAAAAAGGTGGATAAAATGAGGCTCAAAGATGCTTCAATTCAGTATATTGAACCCTTGTGGGTTTTGAAGAGGCTAAAAAAATGTTCTTTTGCTTTGTTTACTAAACTTTTTTTTTTTTTTTTAATCTGATTGAAACTCGTGACCTGTTATGACCTGTTATTTCAATCTGTAGATAGAAATTCCCAAAAGAGCATAGTTCAGGTTAAGTGAGCTCTCCAGGGCATGGAGGCCTTTCCAGCACTAGGAAAGCCATGTCTCTGAGTACAGACAGTCAGCAGAGCTAATGTTACTGTTTCTGTCCCTTCAACCATTGGTGTCTTTCTTTCACTGCAGTTTGGATTCAGGGAATAAGAAAAATTCAACTCTGAAAATTAAGAGTTGTGCTTTTTCTTTTGTCATTACATTATTCTTGATGGCTTTTTGCCACACTCAAAATTACGTTATGTTTCATTGCTCAGCATGGCACAAGATGCCAGGTGAGAGATGTTCTAAGTGACTCAGCAAAGTGCTCTGTGTCAGAGAAATGAGTGACTTGTCAGAAATGAGATCTGAGACAGCAGGAAAGGAGAGGTCCTTCAAAGATGGGCGAAGCCAACTTTGACAGAGGCTTACTCTATTGAAGCTTGGTATTTCTAAACCTTTCTCCTTCAGGACTTTTGGACTAGAAGTCATAAATACCACCATTTTCAGCTCCAGTCTGTGTTACAGTTCTGTATTGCTGCAAGAGGACGGAGGCAGAAGGAAGATGTTATTGAGGAGCTCAGCAGGATTCGTGCTGTTCTTGCTCTCTCAATGCACTGTGTCCCTGGGCACCAAGGAGGCAGTGGTCCTGGCCAATGCTCACCTTCTTCCCCAGAGAGACTATGAGACACTGGGAAACACCAATGAAAAAGGTACTCACGAAGGCAGCGAGCGATTTGGAAGAGTTCTGTGTTTTACTTTATTGCTTTGCTGTAACATTTTCAACCAACATATTTGAAAGCTATCCCTGGAAGAATAATTTGCACTATGAACATGTCCTGCCACAAAGTCCTGTCTGTAGAAGTTGTTCTATAATGCTCACTGAGAAAGGAAACTGTGAGGGTCACTGTGTATATTCCTGGCTTGGGCATTGCCATATAAATTACTTAAATAATCCTTCTATAAAATAATAATCCTTCTATAAAATCATGGCATCATGTTTGGAGTCAACTAGGCTATGTCTACCAGGCATATGTAATTTTTACTGAATTTTTCTCACAGAGATAATAAAATTTTCAAGTTTTATTAAATGCAAATTACAAATATTCCACAGTTTAATGACATAAGAACATGCCTTTCAGCTCTATGGAGAAGTGAGTGATTTCAATTCATAAACATATGTCTGAGTAACAGAACAACGAATACCATTCTTCTGTACAAAAGGAATTGTGTGTCTATAAGTTCATACATATGTAAATGTATATTTAAATAAGTTATGTTCTGGCTATTAAGAAACTTCAGAATCAATTGTAAAATTCAGAGCATTGTGCCGAAATCTCAGAGATGCTTGATATTATACTATAGCAAGAAGTTACCTTATAAGCATGTTACATTTTTAAAAACCTAGTAAATATTTTAGCCTAATAGAGAGTGCCAACTATTTTTTATTACTATTATTATTATTATTATTATTATTATTATTATATGCCATTTATTATTGCCCTCTGAGTCTATTGGATAAGCAATTAAATGGAAAAGTATTTTCACCTATTTTCCTGACATTGGTGTCAGCACAGAACAAAACTGTAGTTCTTCCTGCAAATCCACGATAAAATTTAGCCTGGAGTTTGAGTGAAAAGAAATCATCCTAAGAAAATCCTCAGATGTTTATAAGATTTATATTAACAATGAAAATGCTTTAATATATCCCTTCTATCAATGAACACATGGCATACATTTCAGAATTTAATACAATGATGTTAGAGGTGCCTGAAGTATAAATTGGTTCAAGAGAAATGAATTTGTTTGTTAAGGATTAGACTAGGTCTAGTTATTAAACTCAAATGTCCTACACATGGCACAAGGAACTGCAAACTTGCTGACTACTCAAACTGCAAGAACAGTGGTGGAAAAGGAATGATCTGTACATAGCTTTTGGCTTTTCAACCATGTTTCTGAAATCATACTTCTGTAGTATGTCAGAGTAACAAAACATTTTTTAAATTTTTGAATATTTCCTGCACGTTCCTGCCAGAAATCTTGCCCCTTTAGCTGAATAAATGCCCATCAGCTGCAATGAAGTCAGTTAACTTCCAGTCTGAACAGTCATTCAGTCACTCTAAAGGACAGAGTTCAATTTCTGAAATTTTTTATTTGAACCTATTTTTTTTTTCTCTCAGACTATCCAAGGGATTGTTTTGAGATTTTACAGCGCTCCAAAGGAAATTCCAGAGATGGCCTTTACATCATCCAGCCAAAAGAGGAACCAATTGTTGTCTTTTGTAACATGCAGGATGGTGGCTGGACAGTAATCCAGCACATTACAGCCAACAGTACTGTCGACTTTGACAGGACCTGGCAGGACTACAAGTATGGATTTGGCTCTGTTCATGAGAACCACTGGTTAGGAAATGAATACATGCATCAGTTAACTGGCAGCTCAGTGCAATACATACTTGGAATTAAACTTGTAGATCTAAATGCTGAAGTCAAATGGGGACAGTATGAGCCATTCCAGATTGAAGGGGAAGAGTCTCAATACCGAATCAGGGTTGGTCTTTACAAAGGCAACGCCACTGATGCATTGACCCTGGACACAGAAGCTTATCTCCATGACAACCAGAAGTTCACCACCAAGGACAGAGACAACGACAATTACTTTATGAATTGTGCCAAACTGGAGCTGAATGGGATTCCTGGGGGAGGCTGGTGGTACGACGCGTGTGCTGGAGCAAATCTAAACCGCAGGAATGTGATTTACTGGCAAAAAGACTGCAACAAGCAACACCCGTGCAAGTTTGCATGGATGATGATCAAACCCATCAAGCACCACCAGTCATACCCTACCAAGGGCTGCCCCTGTCAGAAAGTTGAGCTGTAGACAAGCCATGTGTATTTGACAGGAACATTGGGTCTTTCTCAAGTGACTGAAATGAACTCACCGACTGAGTAATAACCCTGAGTAACCATGACTGAAAATTTAAATTGCGCCTCTGCAAGGGCTTTATGATGACAAAACGTCCAGGACTGGAACATGTCACAGAAATTTGCCAACCACACAAGTGAGAAACTGTCAGAAACTGAGACCTTTACCACAAGACTTAAGCAAGCAGATTCAACCAAATTAATTTTACACTATTTTAGCCATAAGAAAAGTCCAGTATGAAATCCAGGATATATTGTACAATATATACATGAATAAAAATACATTTCAGAAGGTTTAGCTCTGATGTCAATATTCATGATTGACTGCACATCTACAATTGCACATCTTCGTATATCATGCAGGGAGGATATTTCCAGTTATATACCTACATTTACAAAATGCATATTGAAGAGTATTGTGTACCACAGAGCTCCAACAGGCCTTTTCTTTCTAAATTTAGTGAAGGGTGTTTTAATATTAAAAATTGGAATTAACCTCATCTCCCATGGCTTCTTTCCCCCTTCATTGACTCTTCTTTTATCTCTACTTTTTAATGATCCCATATACAGTTAAGTATTCATACAGACTTTTCTTTTCTGCCTTCATTTTAGAGCACTCAGCACGAATGGGATTGTCAGCTCTCCCATTTAAAGCCAGTGATCCAAAGCTAACAAACCCTCTGAATTTTTCCACCAAGAAACTCAGTGAATGCATTTTTTAAAAGATCAAATTGATATTGCAACTGTTTATTTATTCCTCCATTTTCCCCTTGAAGATTACTCCACTTTATTTACCATTATTTGACTGTTACTTCTCCCTGTTCCATGCTTGCTTCATCTTTTTCTCTTTTTAATACCGCTGTGAGAAGAGAATGTTGCCTTTATTTCACATTAAATAGTTTGAATTGTTTTAGTACTCAACCTTAACATCAATTAAACAGGGCCTTTTTTCTACTTATATAATATAATAAAAAAAATATTAATTATAAATGATTCTGTTGTAAAACTATAAACAAAAGATTTCAGTTTTTATAACCTTGAAGACTTTGTTTACTTTTACCACTGTTTGAGCTTCTTCACACAGTTCTATATCATTGGAATAGCTGAATGACAACTGAAGAGTTGTTATTGTTGCATTCACAAAATGTCAGAATAATAATTAGATTATCATGTATGTTTTCTTAAATATTTCAGTTAAAGAAACTCCACCAACAGATACTGTCAAATTCCTGCTTTTTAATTTAAAATACGACTTATAATTTTCATGAAAATCGCTTCAGAAAATAAATTCTATTGTGTTTTGAAAGGACCAAAACTGTCATGATTGCTTAAGATGAGAAAATATTTTGGAAGCAGAAAAGACAGGAAAACAAGTTTTATTTTTCTTGATGCATTGTGGAATTTTTAGAAAGAGATACAGCTACATGATGTGGGTGAAGCCAACACAGCACACATGCCAATTTACAGCATCTGTTATTTCCCCCCCCGAATTTGTGTTCAAAAAGTGTGATAGGGGAAGAAATAGTTAGTACCTGAATTGAGTTTATATCATTGAGTCAATTTAATTTGTGTTTTGCATAATTCTATCAGGATGCCTCCAAAGTTGTGATGAGGATACAAGAAAATCACCTGAGTGCTGCCAGTCTCATTTAGCTTTTGTTAGAATTCCTGCCCATATAGCCAGATGCTCACACACCTTACAAAAATGTGTTCTTAATAACCTTGACATGGAAGCATGGAAGGGAGAGTCCACAGGCTGTATCTGATCAAAAGAGGCAGGTAACCTGCTCTGCAGCACACCTTGTTTTAGAGGATTTTAGAGGTAAGGACTCTGCAAATAAGCTGTATGAATAATTTGGGCACCAGCAGAGCAAACCCAGCTGCCCAGGTCTGGAGAGACTCTAGTATTAACTGGAGCCTTACAAAGCTATGCACTGAATTCCAGTACAAAAATTAGATTTAAAATGTAATAAAAACTCATAACAAGAAGTCTACCAGCAAAAACCTGAGACATTTAATCGAATTCAGGGACTGAGCTATATTCCACATTCTAAACTAAGTATGGATAGAAATCACTATTGGGGCTGGGTTAGGGACTAAGTACTAGATGAAAATAAGTAAGAATATTCTAGAACACCCAGCAGCATGGAAGCTTTAGAAGTAGATTAACTTTACTCATAACTCCTTAGCAAAATACAATTTTAACAGATTTTTTTTCTTCGATTGCTGAACCTTGATCACGAAATCACAGACTGGAACATGAGGGCTTCTATTCTACCCACTCCTAAGTTCTTTTGCCAATCACATTTCCCCTACACTCTCTCTCTCTTAGCATTTCCTGATTTTACTGCCTCGTGCAGTATAGGAAAGAAGGAGGGTCTTGCCAGGAGTAGCTGCTGAAATAACTTTATTTGGTCAAATAAATACCCTTCCAAAATGAGTAAGTATGACAAAGCCTACACCAAAAAGCTTCCAGGTTTAAGCACCTGTGAATGGGAGACGTGTTCCACTTTAACCAGGCAATCTCCTAACAATAGCACTGAAATAGTTTTCTTTACCTCTGCTACTTTGCATTTCACCTTGTACTGTCAGCTGCAGGAAATGTAAGCACACTCTCACATACAATACCACATTAATCAACTCAGAATTTATTTATTATTTGTCTTTAAAAATAATTAAATCTTCATATGAGAAAGTACTTGCTTTTGTTTCTGATTTCCCAGACTTCCAGGTAACCTTATTTTTTATGTGTTAACCATAGATTTAAATGTATGACAAAGTGTTTTTAGGGGCTAGCTGACTAATGTTGTTAATTTATTGATGCAATATGCTGCATCAAAAAATGAACAACTTTAGCTGCACGGCCTCATTTTCTCCTACTAGAATTAACAAACAGTCCTTCAGGCACAGTCATTTCTTTTGCGATCCAGAAGGCATCAGGCCACAGTCTGAATGGGGGGCTACAATGCTGAATCCAGCTGTGTTCCACAGCTGGAATCCTCCACTTACCCTCTCTCCACTCTTCCTCCTACAGCTACCTGATGAATTGCACACTGAAGGAGGCCTTATGGGCAGCACACACTAAAACAACTATCTGACCTCCACTATATCTAGGTTGCTGCTGCATGTAAGGATTCAAAGATATTTCAGCTTCTATCTTGGCATTGTAATCCCGGAATTCAGTAAAATCCCCCAAAGATAAGAAGCCTACAAAAACAGAAGCCATCAGCAACCAGTGTCTGGAGGAGGACCTGTTGAGAAGAAAAGTTCTGAAGGGTTTGAAATGTTTGGTTTATTTCAGGAGGACTGACTTTGGTATATCAGCAGATATACGAAGAAACTAGTGACATTTAGGGACCAATGGCAAAAATACTGAGTAAAAGGCATTGCTTTTAAGTTCCTTAAAAATACATGAAAAAATGCATTCAGCAAGATGGAAAAAACAATTTTAACACCATTCCTTTCTGAAACCACTAATAGTCATAGATTATCCTCTGTTTTACAACGTGGTGTTAACAATTTTGAATTGTTTTAACTACTTATGGGATAACTATTACTAAAATCATAAGGAAGAAGCTTATTAAATCTTACGGTTTTATGAGTCTCAACTGTCAAATGTGTGTGTAAGAACGTTTCTCATGAGAGTTCAAAAGGCAGCAATGGACCACACAAGAAACAGAGTGGCCTCTTACTGACTGGCTAGGGGTAAAGCCAGGTAGTAAGGTGAAAAGACACAGTATCCCTTTTCTAGAGTTAAGGTTTAGCCTGTGTCAAAACAGAGAAGCCACTGACTACCCAGCAGCTGCAGGAGCATTGCAGGAGCTGTCCTTTGCAAAGCTCTCCACTCAAAGGAGTCACAGAAAGTGCACAACTGTATCCAGGTGTTCTACATATTTTAAAAATTCTGGGAATTCTTCGACGTATTTATCTACAAACATAAATTATATTTGCAAAAAATGAATGTTAGTTGATAAATTATGGGGATTGGGAATATGCAGGGATGCCAGCATATATGAAAAGGGAGACACAAAAATCATACCCCCTGTTTGCGGGAAAATTCAATACTTGAAAATATAAAAGGCGCTGGGTCTCTGAAAAGCTTAGTTAGGGATGTGTATTTATGCATCTATATTGATAATACATACATATCTATATATATGTATGTGTATGAAATGATGTACAACCAAAATGTAGTTTTACAAAAAACATTTCTTTAGTCCACGGCAATAATCAATTATAAGATCAGTAAAAATGTCATTAAAGGAACAGATAACAAGATAACAAGATCGTCCTACACTGCAAAAGTATCACAACACTTTTTAAAGGTACAAAATACAATCAAGAACTAACTGATACTCTGATGAGGACCACATTTGGTTTTTTTGTGATTTTGATATTTTTTAAGAATAAGCATCCTATATAACAGTAAAGTAACACAAACCTTTTTATATAATCCGTGATATTTACAATGTACTCATGTGTGGCCATGTAATGTCTCACATGGTTAGGTGCTAGCAGCATAATTTGAACACATATTTCACAATTACATTGAACCAACATTGTTGCATCCATTACTGTGTATTCTAATACATTTACTGAGCAGAGAGTCCATAAACATTTACAGAACATTCTTGATCAACAGAAGTCAAAACCAACAAAAAATAGCCCATTTAATTTCAGTAAGAGCCAATGCTTCATTTCAGCAATAACAGTGCATCTAGCAGGAACTATTACTACCTCATAAATTTTGCCTAAAACTACAGCTTTTAGGAGAGACACATTCATTTGCTAAAAATCAAACATAGTTTACTGAATGACTGGTCTCATTCAGTATGAAATAAATCCACTCCAATAACCAATTTGTACCTACTTATTGTACACAGGAAAAGCTCTGGATAGTGACAGAACAAAGCTGACAAAAGAGTTTTGTAAAGACCTCTGCTTTCCTTTCATAAGTAATCATATGCTAATGCACAAAATAATAGACCCAGTAGGTGCGTTACAAAATCAATCACATGAAATTAGAGAACATATTTTTACATTAGTACACTGTTAATCTTTCACTGACAAAATTTTCCCCCGTGGACACTGGGGCTAAAAAAATGTTAATTACTTGTACTGTGATTGTTGACATGGAGGATTTATCTATCTGTAGAAAAACATTCTGATGGTATGATAATCTAGTACATTATACAAACAATTTCACTGAGAGCAATGGTACATTCATGATGACTTATACAATCCCTGAAATGTGC